GGAGCGGGCTGGAGGCGCGTGCTATGGGCTCCCGGCTGCAGCTGCAGCCTCCTCGACCCTGCTGGGGTAGCGACTCCGCGGACGCTGACGGGGTCGGACGGCTGTGCAGCGGAAGAAGCGGCTAGTGCAGCTGTGCTCTCGCCTTCGCTTAGCTCGAGCGCGGGGCGGGGCCGAGGACCTGGGGGCGGGGCCAGGTGGAGGGGGCGGGCCCGGGGCGGGGCCAGATGGCCGGGAGGGGCGGGGCCGGGCGCTGCGCCAGACTTTGGGGCGCCGGTCCCCGCCCGGAACGGAGACTCCGACGACTAAGGGGCGAGCCAGGTTGAGGGCCCTGTTGCCTTTCTGGGCTGCCTTGAATTTCCAGTTCTCGGTTCGCTCCCAACTAGTTTACCTGCGGGCCCACTGTTGCAGTTTGGTAGCAAAATCAGGTGAACATTCCCTGTTCGCCGCCCGCGAGGGTTAACCTCTGGCAGTGCCGGGGACGCCTCTTCCTTGCCCACTGTCCCCCTCCGCGAACCTGAAACCCGTAGAATTTTTGTGTGAGAAAAATCTCCATGGTCCCCTTTAGCGCGCGACTCAGTAGAGCACAGAAATGTTTAAAGCTCTATTGTGATGACTTATCTTCCAAGGACCTCACCCAAGGGCGTTGCCTGGATCACACTTCTCTTCCCTCTGGGGAGGTCAGTTCCTGCCCTGCCTACTCCCAGACCAATTCGGAGAAATTTTTAGCAGATTTGTATTCCAAAGATCAGGCCCTGCTAAAACCGAATTCTCCACTCTGATGCAGACTTGGAAAAAAAACAAAACAAAACAAAACAAAACTCCATCTGTCCCCTAGGCTGATTGTTATTCAGTTTCTCAATGTCTTTGTTTTCTCTGCAAAATGAAAAATCACTCATTTAAGAATAAAACAAGGGGCCTGGGAGATGACTCAGTAGAATAAATGCTTCCCTGGTAAGCACAAGGGCCTGAGTTCAATCCCCGGTTCCACAAAAAAAAAAAAAAAAAAAAGAAAGAAAGAAAGAAAGAAAAGAAAATTCACATATTTTGAAAAAGTCTCACAAGTGATGGAGTGATGGAGTAGGATGCTGGTACATGCTCTTGTGGGTGTTGAGTCTGTGTCAGCTGATGTCCCTGGGGCAAGTAATTGATCCTGTACCCTCCTATCCCACTCTATTATGGTTTACCCAGAATTGTAGCTGTGTTGTAGAAGTTTCCAGCTGTCAGTATTTCTTGAAGGAAGTAGGTTGAGTCTCATGTTCTTGGGTTTGGCTTTACTTAGGAAGGAATTAGGTATCCATCACAAACTTGAGAAAAAGCTCACACTGAATTTCAGGAATATCCTGGGCTGAGAGAGAAACCCACTATGCACCTTCAGTCTTTTGGGGAATTCTAAAATTACATTCAAAAAGAATTGTTCAGTTGAGAGCGGACAGAGTTGGGCTCCAGTTCTGGTGAGATTTACAGAAACTAGCCATGTGGCTTACAACAACTTCTGCTTCTTAGGTTCATCTCACTTGTTCAGAACCGCACATGAACTCCATGGGGTTCACTCTGTGAGCCGGCATTGGATAGTAAAAATGGAATCCAATTCCTCAAAATTAACTACTGACCTCAGATCCTTAGTTTTATACAATGCTGATATTATTGCTAAGCTTTTAGAAATATTATAGGCAGCCACATAGGGCTATGCCCTCGAAAGTTCAGCTGAGGCAGAAGACAACTATGGCTAGAAGCCACGTTCACTGAAGGCCAGGCTTCCAGAAAAAGAGGAACTACTACTCACCATATACTTCCCCTAGAGATAATTAGCAGTGACTGATATTCTAAATAGACAATAGGTGGAGGTCCAAACCTCCTTAACCTACCCCATTTGGGAAAGTCCTCGTCCATTCCAGTGTGCTTGCTAGGTGACTTGCTACCCATTATCTCCATTTATTACTTTTAATCTTATTACTTGACCACTGTTAGGTTCCACCTCACACCCATCTGTGATTTTTCCACTGATCATATTTTGAACTCACCTCATCTTGAGGCTTTGCTCAATAAACATTCTCAAGATGCTGGGTTGGTGGACTACCCACTTTCTAGACCCCATCTGTCCCTCTTAGACAGAAGCTGTCCTTTTTATCAATAAATTTGTCCTACTTGAAACCTTCATTGTTAGTAGAATTCATTCCTCAAGAGAACACAAACTCAGCATTTTGGAAATACAGCAAATTAGGAGTTATGTTTCCCTCATATCATTTGATAGTCCTATATCCATGCCCTGTATCACTGAGACATTGTAACTGAAGATTAGGAAATACTAGAAGCAAGAACTAGAGGACTAGAAATGATTGTGTATACATAAATCTGTCAAAAGACAAAATTATAAGTTAGTTTAAATATCTTGGGCTGGGGAGATAGCTCAGTAGAATAAGTGCTTGCCTGGCAAGCTCAGGTCCTAAATTCAATCCCCAGTACCCCCCCCCAAGTTTTAGTTTTATTAGAATTTGTTTTAATTTTATTAGAATTTATTACAATTCATTCCATAAAATAGAATAAATAAGTCCAGCAGAGAAGGGCCAGCCAAATAGCTCAGCAGATTAGAACACCTGCAAGCAGGCACAGGAGACAGGGTTCAATCTCCGGGCCTGCCAGGCCAGCTTCACCCCCAGGGCGTGTTGAGATAGCAAGTGAGACTGGGCATGGTGGCGCTCGCCTGTAAGCCCTGCTCTTGGGAGGCTGTAAACAGATGGATCACTATGAGTCCAATCGAGTAGTGAGACACTGAACACCCTGTAGACCTTTCCCTAAAATGCAAAAAAAAAAAAAAAAAAAAAAAAAGCCCAGCAGAGAAGATAAGTTTTACAGATGAAGGAGGAGGAAGAGAAGGAAGAAGAGGAGGAGGAGGAAGAAGAAGAGGAGGAGAAGGAGGAGGAGGCGTCGGCGGCGGAGGAGGAAGAGGAGGAGAAAACAGAAACAAAAAGAAGTGGATTCATCATTTCAGAGTTATTTTCCTTGTAAAGCAGAGACAAAAAGAACAAGAGAAAAATAATTCATTGATTGACTTCAGATTACTTCAGGTTACATTTTTGTGTAAAGATTAAAGTAGAGGAAACTTAAGTATCATACCAGTTGGCACAGGCCAGTTTGGGAAGTTTGATGGCTATCTTTACAACCTTGATTTCTCAGGACAAAAATATAGTGACTATTTTATTTTTAGTCCGTTCTATTGGGCTTAGTACAGAAGTTTGTACAAAACAAGGACCTCCTATGATTTTCACTTTCTAATTCTTTGTTAGGATGAAATGTGTGAAAAATAAGGCATTTTCACGAGGTAGGAGAATAAGAAAAATTCTTACTGGATATCACTAAACCGATTAGGAAACTGAGACAAAAGAAGAACAAATGATATTTAGAGAACTAGAAATCCTCCTTCTCCACAGAATTTCATTTTAAAAGACTTGTGAATAAAAGACCTTTCATTATTTGTGTACCAGCAGTGAGCAACAGTGTAAATCAGTTGGCAAACAGTCTGGGAATAATCTCCTGGTTTTGTTTCTTCGTTTTATCTGGTTCGTCTACAGAACTGTGTGGGCACAACAGCGGGGATAATAAAGACGCTGGACCAAGACCAAGCATAGCAAAACCAGCCTTGTGACTTAGAAAAGGCTGCCCATTGACCCTGGAAGCTGAGGAGTGGGGATGGAAAAGTTAAAAAAAAAATAATCATAAGTTACCATTAACTACTAATTGTAAAGCCAGTATTAGAAGAACTTTTTCTTTTTCATGCTGAGTCTCTCTCTCTCTCTCTCTCTCTCTCTCTCTCTCTCTCTCTCTCTCT